TCCATAGGGACTACAGTTGGAATTCAGCCACACAGAAGCCAACACGAAACCATTATACTATCCTAAGTGACTCTAAGGCGGCACTACAAGCAATAGCTAACCCACAGGCGCAGACAGCATAGTATATCACTCAAAGGATTAATATAGAAGCTAAACGCCTTAGCAAGGGATGCGGCATCGACATACACCTTGCCTGGATCCCAGGGCATGAGGGCATCCAGGGAAATAAGCTCGCAGACCAGGAAGCCAAGGAAGCTGTGGAAAGGCCACCAGAACACCACCTCACCCCACTCCTCTCCTCACAGTAGAAGCTGTTCAAAGATCTGATACAACGGCAATAGAGAGAAGAATGGAAAAGCTCGCCAAAGGGCGAACATCTCCGCAAAATTGACCCTTCCTTACCAGGAAAACATGTGCGCAAGCTCTATGACACAAAAACGCGCCCTCAAGCAAACCTACTAGCTCAACTATGTACAGGCCACTCATAGCTAAAGAGCTATAGGAAGAGGTTTGGCAAAACCTAGGATGATAACTGCGAATGTGGAGCGAGAGAGACACTGGCATATATGTTTCTTAACTGTCCCACTCTATAAGGACTACAACAACGACTGCGGAGGCGGATAGGACCCTGTCTTAACAGCCTATCATCTTTGATTTCAGAAGATATAGCAGATGGAGAGCTACATGCTATACTTGAATTTGCTGAAAAGTCTGGAAGGTTCCGCAATAGAGACCTTTGATAATAAAGCTAGGTTATATTTACACTATAAATAGGGTGAGAGATAAGGTTACTACAAAGAGACAACTCTAAGCAGGAATAAAACTTCAGGAAATAGAACCGTAAAGAGGAATGTAAATAGATCACATGACTCGTATGTAGCCTGCATATCCTAACTAGGATGGGTCAGGGTAAATGAAAAATCAAATCAAATCAAATCAAATCAATCTATTTATACTGAGGTACAAGATATAGTAACGTCCGTCCCTGCGTCACGGAACGCACCCTGAGACGGAACGCTCGCAAGGTTTAGGAAGCTTCAATTATTTATTTGTCGATATTTAAATTCATAGACAGTACAACGTGGTCCTTGAGCTATTTCTCTACCTATATAAACAGCCTCGAAGTAAGAAAATTACCAAGCATGGCCGTGCTGTCAACAATATGGTTGTAGCTCTGACAGCCGGTGCGATCGTGTCACCCCTGCTTGGTTAAGGACATCTGCGAATTTCGAAAGTTATAGGCCATACTACGATAGTCTGACTATTAAAGAATAAATATCCAGATTTTAGGAAGAAGTCCTGCCCTTGGGACCTTGCAAACCGGGAAGTATTCGTGGCAAGTGGAGGATCTTACGAAGGTGTGATTTTTAGCGTGTCTTAGCAAGGGTCTGGTACACTTACATCAGCCAAAGAACCTGAAAATCGATTGTGCAGCTATGCCTATCCAGGGTTTTCTTTCAGAGCGGGGTTTAGATCTAATAAGGTTACAAGGCTAAGATACTTGGCGCTGTTCGCTTAGCCGTGTGCTGCGCAGTGGATGAGCGTGCAGCACTTGATCCCCCAACTCCAAAGTGCCAACCACGCTGTCTTGCTGTTACCCAACTGGAGTTCCCTATAGATAGAAAGTCGAGTTTACTCTAATTACATTTGTTGCTTGCGCTGCGAATGATCGTTCTCCTGGCGACTACTGACCTAGCAATTTGAGATACAGCCAACCAGCTTGCCCCGCAGCGAAGCTCCACTCAACCTTGTTGTATTGCACGATCTTTGAGCGAAATGTGTGAATGGGCTTGCCAGACATATGCATCTTGTCAATGTAATCCCAAACACCATATCCGCCACCACAGCAACTATTGTTCGACCGCCGCTCAAAACAACAACCAGCCATGCACTCTGGCAAGCGGGCATCAGAGGGACCTCCCACTGACCCTTGATGCTCAGGATACGGACATCACTGGAGACTGTCCTGTTTGTGTGGGAAGCACGCCAGCTAACTCGTCTGATTGACTGATACGTTTGTCTGTTCCCCAACCTGTAGCTCGGGATCGCGGTTGAGCCTGCTTGCGTCCAGCCTCTCCAAGATCGTCGAATGTACTATACGTAGCTTGATTTAGTTTGAGCTAACTTGATTAAAGATGAGATTAACTAAACATACAATGGGGTTTGCTTCGAAACCTTAAAGATTTGAAGTTCCACCTCACTAAGATCAACATGTGGGATTGTTTTGCAATGAAGATCAAGGACAAAAAACAGACTGGAGGGTGAAGAGGGTTCAAATAATATATGTTTATAGAGATCATCTATTGGAACTTCAAGACCTTGTGAATTGAAGAAGGCTGCAACCATCTCATTCTGAACATTCCAGTGTCGCTCAGGGGATTTGAGAACGATGCGTCTTGGAACGACCTGAGTCATTATGGCTGACGAAGGTTACTGCAGAACGTTAGGATGTGACTTGAAAGAAGAGTTGAACAGGGTAATCGACTAACGAGAATCGCAGGTTTGAAGAAGCTTGGTGGAAGTCAAGATGATGGGGGAGAGACTCAACGCAAACCGGAATTTGCCTTAGGCTACAAGGCCAAAATACTCTTGGCCATGACGCCTTACAGCCTGGCGGGGCTTTCAGGTGTCAGTTGCATCATTGCCCTTCCAGCGAAGCGACGAATGGCGCCACTATCTCTAGCCTGTCCAATAACTAACCAGATAACGTTACTTTGACACCTACCCATCTGCAGGTACCCAACTGGGCATTCTAGAATCAAGAATCCTCGAACTTCGAATTTCGCACTTTGGATGCCTCCATCAAATCCAACAGTCGCGGTTCTCGATAGTTCGAGGATCGCAGGCGGCTAATAGTCTAAAAATAGAGATGTACCAAAAATGGGCCCTCTGTCAGGATCAAGCACATGCCCTCTGGCTCTTCGCGCTCGCTTCGTTCCTCCTCTCCTGTTCCTTTCCTTCACATTCTCAGCAGCCACCATCATCACCAGAGTAAGCTAACATGGACTGAGCCAGTCAGGTACTGGCACAAGGTGTCCCTCATGGCGTACCTAAATCATATCGTGCTCTAGCCGATTATCATGGCGATGTTGGCTATACTACCCTCTATTATCGTGATAACGGACGACAGTCGATTAAAGAATAGGCTCTAGGCCAAAACTACCTAAATCCATGCGAGACCAAGGCTGTCGTCCAATTTTTGTTGCAAATGTCTAATCTTGGACAGCCTGTATGCATCAAATATATACCTTCGATAGCCTTCCTCGCTACACGCCATAGAGCCATACAGGACAGACCTCCCAAACCTCCAGGTAGAAACTGGGCTAAGGCGCTGGAGAAGCGTAATCCAGAGCTCAAGGCACGAAGAGTCAAGGCACTGGACTGGAATCGTCACGAGAGAAACATTTACGAGAAGATAATAGACTGGTTTACGAAGATCGGACCGGTTGTAGAGGATCCAATTATTCGGGCAGAGAACGTTTACAACTTTGATGAAACCGGCGTGATTCTGTCTAAGCTAGGCTCCGTCAAAGTCCTCGTAGGTAAGGACGACATGCGAGACTATAGAGGTGCGCGTGAAAAGCGAACAATGGTCACAGCGATTGAATGCATAAGTGGCGATGGTAGGCATTTGACACCTATGATTATATGGCCTGCGACCACGCATCGAAGTAACTGGAGTACGTTTCCAACACCTGGATGGCAGTATGCGTGCTCCGAATCTGGATACACTGATTCTAAGATCAGCCTAGAGTGGCTCAAGCGCATATTTGATCCTCAAACCAGAGAACAAGCTAATCAAAGACCACGCGTGCTTATTTCCGATGGCTTTGCAACGCACGAGACGCTCGAAATCTTGGAGTACTGCTTCGGAAATAATATCATTCCCTGTCGTCTTCCCTCCCATACCTCACATAAACTCCAACCCTGTGATGTCGCAGTCTTCGCTCCCTTGAAGGCGGCGTATCGGGATCAAGTTGAAATCTTGGAACGAGGAGGTGTGAATACGATCGGCAAGCAGCATTTTACTGCATTATACAGCCCTGCGCGAGAGAAAGCGTTCACGTCTAAGAATATCAAGGCTGGATTCGCTGCGACTGGTTTGTTCCCATTCAACCCCGACAGAGTGCTCAGAGGTATACCTGAGCCCCCACCTGAACTAACCATTCCGAAACCTAATACGGCAACGGTCGAATCTTGTCCGCAAGATGTAGCACCACAAACACCCGTAACACCAGTATCAGAGGTAGCTCTGATATCGCTACAAGATCGAATCCTTAAATACGATACTCATACGATAGACGAAGTAAGTAAAGAGAACCTAAACAGACATGTGCAGAAGATCACCAAAGCCGCCCGAATATGTCTTGCCAAAAGCTCTATCCAGCACGACCAGATTCGATTCTTGCTCAAAATCAACAACGAAGCCAAAGTTCGACGATCGACAAAATCAGAAATACTAGGAAAGGCGAAGGTTATGAGCTATGAGGACCTTGAGGAAGCACGATCGAAGCGTGCACAGAAAGAGGCTGCCAAAAATGCCAAAGGCAAGGGTAGGCGCGGCAGGAAGCCGAAGAATGTTCCGCAACAGGCAGAGGCAGAGGCAGCTACAGGAGACAATAACAGACATGGTCGTAAGCGTAAGAAGTCAGCGCAAGAGGCAGATGAGTCGGAGGGGATGGCCAAGCGGGCACGAGCGAGCAAAGCGCAGGAACAATCGATAGCTCCAGTAGCAAGGATGATATAAGTAGCTTCATATTATTGGTAGATAGAAATTATCACTCTCTTATCCTATGATGGAAGGCTTGCTTGTTGCGCTTTCTTGTAAGCTGTCGGCTTGATGAACCTTGCAACGTGGTCGAAGCGAGTCATAAGTTTGTAGCGGACCAATTACTTTCTACAAGATGCCAAGTCGTGCTGCATGTTAGGTCACGTGAAAACTGATTACCCCGCTTGAGATCATATCACCCCTCTCAATTCACCTCTATTGTACACACAAATGTCACATCATCTTGAATCATTATATTCTAGAGCTGCGATGCAAGCCGGAATCGATGATATAGCGAGCTTAGTCCGCAACCTGGGTATTGCTGATGACGCACCTCAGGATCAGGATCAGGGACAGAATCTCCGGAACGCTGTACATGTGCTTATTCGGTCTGCCAACACTGTTACCTCACAAGCACAATCTGTCAAATCTCTCGCTGGTGACGCGAATTCCTCGCGTAAGCTGCCTATCACGGATGTATGCTCGCTCCGTGAAGGAATAAAGAAGCTTGCGAACATTACTATCGATCTTCAAGGCACTATTGATGCGCTCAACGAAGCGGCGGAACACTCTGTCGTCCTACACCTAAGGTCGCTAGGAAGCCAAAGCCCGCTCATTGCGTTTAGAATCTTATCACATTTCGATAAACAAGTCAAAGACATTATCCGAGAAGTTCTTGAAAATACTAGCGATCAGGACGTGTTGTGGAAGGTGGCTGAGGAGTGCTTCAATCAGACCGTTAACCCCTGTGGAACTCTCGATGCTGAGGACTATTTTGCTCCCCTTGAAGAAGCCTGTCTGGAATGGCCTTACGACCCCGACTTTGAGAGCGAAGAATATTATGAGCATGAGAATCGCCTTGATGTGGATGAAGATTACGCTGCAGCTTTCCAGCAACGAGAGCTGCAAAGATCTGAAGCCCGGTGCAAAGATAGGCAGAGTTGGCCTGCATTTTGGATCCAGGTGTTGAACAATGCACCTTCAGGACCAACCCTGTTCCACCCGCCAGCAGGCTTTAGTACTCTGACACTGGGTTCAGATGTTACCCCACGATACCTGTTTCGCACATTCGACGAGGCCAGCTCAGGGAGAAACGATGAAAGCGTGATAGCTTCCAGCGCGAGCATCTTTGGCTCGCATGAAAGTAGCCGAACGGACATTCTGAAATTGGAAACCCAAGAAGCAACAAAATTACTGTACAAGCATTTCAATAAGCAGTGTTTTGACGGGGAGGAGACTGACAACCTCATGTCCTGGACAAGCTCCCTACTTTTCGTAATACAGTACGCGGTTTGGAGGCGCAGAAGGCGTCGATGCCACCCATCCCAGATCAAGGTTTGCGCGGTCGACACCAGGAACTTTCCACATGGACAATTCGCCCAGGACATCTGGTTACTTAAAGCGTATCATGCAACTGCCAAACGGATGGGCGATCCAGAGCGAAAGTTTTTTGACTTCCGTATCGGGAATGAAGACTTTTATAATGGTGAATATCTGTCCCAAGGGAAAGTGAGCCACGCAGGTCGATCCTGTGTAGTCTCTCTTGAGAACTTGAAATAAGCTGGACTCTTTAAACTATATCCCGAATTTAAGGATCCCAGAGGTAGTGAGCAATGGACTAAACGAGTGCTGGAGCTGCGCCAAAGCTGGTCGGCGGAGCAAGGAACGACGGACCAGGAAATTCGGCTTGCGCTCGGACTGGCGTACAGTTGTTTCGCTCAATTCGAGCCAATCGACATAGCTGCCATCCTCCTGACTTTCAAGAATCGCAAAGGCTTAAGGCTGAATCCCACAGGTGAGTGGCCATTCGTCCCTGATATCCTGCGCCGAATTTCTCAGCACTGCCTAATGTACCCAAGAGAGTTCAGACTTCTTCAAGAAACAGCGGCCAAGATGGGCGGATAAGCCAAAGGAAGTTCGTCGATACTGGATTGTTAATGAAGCAGTCGGCTCATATATCGAACTTTCCGATGTGTGGAATCCTCGTTCACCTTCGCGACATTACGAGACGCTACAGGAGGTCTTTGATTGAGAACCGTTCATTGACCAACGATTGACAAAGACTCCGAATCGCCGATGCGCTTTCGAGATAGAACATGAAGCCTTCTTGGTGCTTCGCAAAATACTGTCCAGTTATGAGTGCACGTGGACGCGGAAAGGTTTTGAACTTTGGGAGCCTCAGGCAAACTACGACGTGTACCTTACGTGCAGTAAATTATACAATGATTAGTGAAAATAGGGAGCTGGACCCTGAAATACTATCCCTCCATTTTGAGCTTGGAAGTACCAGTGAGAGTGGCAACATTATATGAAATAATACCACGTGGCCGCCACAGAATAGATAATAAGTTTCTAGAATAATAATAGGACTGTAATGACAAAATACAAACTCTCCATCAATTTTAAAGTAATGCAGGTGTACTACCAGAGCTGTAATACTGCGGCCAGCGTTATTCCATGAATAGACACGCTGTGCGAAACAGCCAACAGCATGGCGACGCAGCTGTAATTTTAAGATAGAAATAGTTCTGCGTACTCAGAATTAGCTATTCTATATTATCTATATGGTAACAAAGGGGTAGAGAGATTTGCGCAATTTTGAAGTAATGGCGAACATGAAGTACCCATGTTGGTGTTCCTTCTCGGAGTGTGTTCCGCCACTCAGGGACGGACGTTACCATACCTTTGCGAACATGTCTGTTCATTCTACTATTGATGCAAATGGACATTTCACTGCTGCTTTTGAGCCTTGGTTCTTGCCTGAGTACGACGATGATGCTGTTCGGGCTGATATACCGTGCTATCCACCAAACATAAGGCAGTGGAAGTTTAAATCAGAAGGGTGCATGAGGGACTACTTCCATACCGAAGTGGTCAACCCGGTGCTGGCGGCCTGGTCAAGACAACCAATTATACTTCATCAATCCGAGGTTTCACCGCTCGATCAACGTAGTACAGAGAAAGTTGACGACTTTTACACAATAAATCTGAGTTCTGGCCACGAAATTCCTTTTGTGGTTGGAGAGTATAAGAAAAATCTGATTGTGAGGGATGAATGGCAAAGCGGAGCCCTTACATCGGACAGCCAACAACAGCTAGGACGAGAATTGCGAGGGTAAGAAACCAACTTTCGAGTGTAAAGTAAAGAAGTGCTGACCACGCCCCTGCTTACAGTTATTGCGTCAAATACATGTGCCCACAAGGGTACTGCTTTGATGGCGAAACATGCATCCTATGGCAATTTCGAGCAGTAGACAGAAAGGATATGGAAAAATTGCGTTGTGGTATAGATATCTGGGTACTTCCTCGAGGCTTCAGCACCACCACGTATCGATATGCCCTCAATCGGCTATTTTCGCAAGCACTTCGAAGGTGCCAAGGTAGCTTAGCCTATCCGACAGTTGATGTCTCTGGTTACATACCAGAAACTCGACCATTTTTTTCTGGTGAACCTTTGTTTAGGATACCAGGCAGTCAAGAACTTCAGAACCTTAATCAATACAACTATTCTCGTGCTATGGATATCACCTATGGTGCATTCTTTTGGAAGCACGGAGAAGAAGATTTAGTACTAGACGGCCGCAGAGTATGGGATACCGCTCCGCTCTGGGGAACAACCTAGGCTGATAGCTTCGTATACAAATTCAATAACCTCAATCCTTACCCTACAGGATAGCCCAGCCAGTTGGACAAGATTCTTGTTATCTCGAATTATCCATATTTCTCCTTCATAGTCAGCAAAACTGTGATATTTTCTCACTAACAGCTGTAGCATTCATTTAGATAGCTTCGCGCATAGTAGGTGGAGGGATCAGGCTAAAAATCACTTATAGTCTACTATCAAAGGCCCTCTAATATCAAGATTCCTGGACGACAACAATTAGATACCACATTAAGGTGTTTTACCAGCGCAAGCCTCAACAACAGAACCAGGTGCACATTGTAATAATAAAATGGGCATCAAATGCCTCCGATTTTCTGATTACACTAGCTGAATGGCCACTCGAGGTTTTCACAGCGGGCATTGGGTCTCACATTTGACTTGAATTCCTACTCGGTTTTGGCCGCTCTTAGTCAGCAGCTATGCACGGTCAGGCGGACTTCGCCAGACAGCCGACACGTGACAGACTATTTACATATTCCGCCGCGTCCCACTTCGCCCTGTTCGTAAACAAGACCAGCTGTCCCTTCCATCCACCCCTTTACTTTCAAGTAAACTATCTATATATGTGATTATCTGTATTTGTGTTCCGTCTTTTATCATAGTACTGTTTATGTGCGCAGTATATAGTAGTGCTATATTTATTCCTCATATTGTGGCTCTAATATGCCATGGCACAATGTTTATTAGTAATGTACCTACAGTCTCCCTCTGGTACTTGGTGTTGTCTATTTATATTGCCTCCATCCCTCGAGGCCTGTGTGTTCCATAAATTTGTCCCTGCCTATCTTCGTTGCCGCATCCCAGATTCCTATATAGCTATATATATTGTTCTGTTCTGTATGATGCTGTTATTGATAATAGTGATATCATTCATTGCGATTTTGGTTTTCAGGTGTAATACTCTGCTTGTGCAGACTATCTAATTACTGAGCATAAGAGTTCTTGGCATGTTTCTCCACAGATGTTGTCGCTTTGTGTTAAAGGGGGACTAATCCTTCTTCACTGGGTGGGGGGTGACAGTGGACGAGGCTGTCTGCAAGCTGTAATATATGGGCACCGAGTATGCCGGATATCTGGTGCTTGAAATGCGCGAGAGATGATGCCGTTCTGTTTGATGGCTTGTCGATGTGGGATGTTGCAAACATTGTCAGGGGTTGGTGAGCTGGCCAGGAAACCCACCGGTGGCTGTATATTGTGTTGTAACTATGGTGCGAAGTGTTTGGGCTTCATCATTATGACCTGTAACCTGAAATCTCAATCTGATATCATTATTATCAATAATAAACCTATTGTATTAGTGGTATACTCCTGTGTTTGGTGTCTGAATGTACCACTGGCCGCAATGGTCACTCTGGCCGGTGCCAGGCCAACGCCGAGGGACGCGCGACCGCCATCCAGAGGCCATGTCGGCCAGTGGTACGTGTATGTACGATGGTACTACTGAATTTCAATGATTTGAGTTCTCGCTGTTGTGATGTATCTCAACTGCAGACTTCATGATTGATTTGATTTGATTGTTTCCTACTCGGTTTTGGCCGCTAATTATCTGCAGCTATGCCCGGTTAGGCGGGCTTCGCCAGGTGACCGACACTTGACAGGCCATGGCCAACGAGAACCTTGGCATGTGACCCATCACGTCCCTCTTAAAAAAGACCACAACAGCGAGAACGTGAACTCTTGGTATCTAGTAGTGCTAACTGAGCATACACACTCCTCTACCTAGCAGTTAGACGAATTGACAGGCCTGACGCGGCGCCCAACGCGTGAAAAACAGGTATGTCGATTCCCTGGCCCAGGGGGGAGTCCTGGTCAAACAGACTGCCAGAGCACGCTACCCAACTAGCGAAGCACCTTCAAGCGGCAGCGCAATTCGTACACAGCACGTCCAGCCGCACTGTTGAACTGGACTCGGTAAAATCGATAATCTT